TAGGGTGTCTTAACAATGCTAGTCCTAGTTTCTCAACTATAGTTGTGCTAGCTACATTCGTGCAACTCCCACCATCAATTATCATGCTACATACCTTATCGTTGACGTAACAACGTGTATGGAAGATATTTTCTCGCTGCTGCTCCGAATCATCCACTTTGACTTGAGTGTTAAGATCTCTCCGTGACACCAACGATTCTCCAACAGCAAACTCCAATTTTTCTTCCTTTTCAACGTCCTCCAATGCAGGCATGTCATCATACTCGCCTTTACTTTCACTCACCACTTCTTCATTATCCAACAACACCATTACCCGTTTATTTGGGCATTGAGAAGCGATGTGTCCGGACCCCAAACATATGAAACACTTGATGTCTCGATTTCTTGATGGTTGTGAATCAGTTTTGGGTGCTGTTTTGCTAGCACTTTCCTCTTTTCCTTTTTGCCATTCATTTTTACCCTTAGGTACAGCTTTATCAACCTTATTGTTGTCGTTGTTCCATCCCGGTTTTCAAGATGGATTTGCACTCGAAGTTCCTATCGGTTGCCTAGCTGTCCCTTTCCTTTTCAACTGTCTCTCCACCTTCATAGTCACATGCAACATGTCTTCCAACTCCACATAATGTTGCAACTCTACTACATTGGCAATTTCCCTATTCAAACCATTCAAAAATCGTGCCATGGTAGCCTCTCGATCCTCTACCACATTAGCCCTAATCATGAATATTTCCATCTCCTTATGGTAATCTTCTACACTTTTCGACCCTTGATATAAGCCTTGCAGTTTTTGATGGATATCTCGGTAATAGTGGCTAGGAACAAACCTCTTTCTCATCAATGACTTCAATTCTTCCCAAGTGCTAATTAGTCTTCCCCCACTCCTACGTTGTGAAGTAACCACTTGGTCCCACCATGAAATGACATAGTCACTGAACTCTAAAACCGCTAACTTCACCTTCTTCTCCTCCGAATAATTATAACATTCGAAGATCATCTCAACCTTTCTCTCCCACTCCAGATATGCTTCGGGATCACTCATTCCTTTGAATGAAGGAATGGTCATCTTTATATTTCCTAGATTTCCATCCAACTCCTCCCCGCGATCATTCCGACCCTGTCTGTCGAACCTATCGCCTCTATTCCTCATCCTTCCCATCTCAACACCGTGAAATTCATCTTCGCCCAGTTCACTCCCATATCCATACTCTTCTCGCCTTTCCCTCCTAGGCTCCCATATATCCGGTCCTCTGGCATTGGACACATCCACTTGATGCCCCCGACTAAGATTGGCCACCGATGTATCTAACCTATTCATCGAAGCCTCTTGCTTCTCCAACCATTCTCTCATATCTCCAAACGCCCTTTGAAACATTTGCACCAAATCCTCCGATGCGTTGTTATTGTTGCCTTGTCGGCTTGAGTTTGATTCTGCCCTTTCTGACATCCTAACACTAAAATTTTATTTAACTGCCTCACCAAAGTCACTCGGAAACACACAATGACTTTTACCCTCTATTGAGCTCACCTCTCTGCCTTTTACCACTCAGTTCTTTCAACAATTGCTTCTAAGGACAATCAACGAACTCAATCAATCAATCAATCTTGTAGAATTCTCAAAGCGGATGTGATTCAAAGAATTGTAACAAAAGGACTCAAGGGAACTTCTAAAACTTTGACTTTGAATTGAAGGAATGGAATGAATCAATGTGTCCAGGCAACTGAGAAACGATATTGAATAAAAAAAAATTGTTGATACCAACTGATGCGAACCCCGTAGCAATGGAAACTACGAAACCCACAACTAGATTGATGCGGAACCCAAGAACGTCAATACTAATCCGGTTTTGGATCTTGAACCCCAATAATCGAACCACGAAACCTCAGATTAGCGAAGAATCTGAAACCCCTTGATTACAATCAATGAAACCCACAATCCGACGTCAAGAACGCCACAAGAAATCGATTCTTGATAAGTTCTAAGTTTGTCCAATGAAGAACAATCAATTGAAAGAAAATTTCTCTCTCTGTATTAATTTCAGCAAAAGTTTTTTTTACGTAATGAAAAGAGTTTCCTATTTATACTATGGCATAAAAAACGTCCAAATTAATCAAAATATGGTAATATTTTGATTTCACAAGAGTTCTACCAGCATTAGAAGATTTGGCAAAAAATTTAAAAAAACGAATTTTTTTTCACTTTTTGATCTATGCGGCCGCATAGATCATTTCTATGCGGTCGCATAGATCACTCCAGCCAGCCACAGGTAGTTTCGGTGGCCTTCTATGCGACCGCATAGGCCGTTGAGCCTGCGGTCACATAGACCAACTCCGTGCCGCCTTCGTCCGCTTTTATCTCGTTGATCCAAGTTCCTTCGGCCTTTGACCCCAACATAAAACTTGTTCCATTTGACCTCCCGAACATTGTTTCATCGATCGTTTGCTTGACAAGCAATCCCATCGCTTCTTTCACTCGCTTCGTCCTCGATCGCGTCATCGGTCCTCCTTCGATTATCAATGGATCCTTTCCGTAACTCGTCGCTTGACTTGCTTCGGTTGTGGACGTGCCTTGATTCATATCTGTACCATTCCCAAAACCCACACTTCTCACTGCAGCATTTGAAGTATTTACCTTTCTTAACAGTGTCCCTTTCAACCTCGAAAAACTTCTGAAATCCATGTACACAACATGGACAACAAAGTTTTATTAGGCAATTGCTAAAGAAGTTTCCAACACTTCTGCAACTGTGGCACGCTCTAGAGTTCCTTCCTGGCATGCTGTGTTGCTGAATACATTAAAAACCATCATTATTATCATTTTTCTTTCAAATCTTGAGGGTTGTAAGTAAGCTCAATAGTGAAGTCCACATTAAAGCATATGAAGTGTTTTTAACCCTACAGTCGCGACACATTCCAATTCTATTATGACAAGCAAAATCAAGTTTTAACCTAAGTCTGATCAAATTTGCTCTTGCTCTGGACAAAAATCATAATTTAACTAATCATTAAAAAAAATCTCAAGACCAAATTCAAATTTTAACCAATCATCAAATTTCACTATATGGAGTTTGGTGTAACAATTTTATAAAATCGAATAGAGAAACTGAAAACTGTTGTAAGCGCGTACACTACTCGAGATGAAGAAAGCGTCGAAGGTGAGAAGACTACTAGAGGTGAATACTTTGGAGTTAAATATTGAGGAAATTACACCCATGTCATTTTTTTAGTTGTCGTTTACAAAAATATCACCTTTTAAAGCTCTTTACAAAAGTGTCATATTTGTTCATTTTTACCCTTCAAAAGAACTTGAATACCTTGCATGTACCTTTTTTATAATTGTGTAAGTGTCATATCAAATCTTGGAAAAGAAAAAAAAGTCGTCAATTGTGAAAAGGAAAGAAAGAAAGAACGAATCCCGACAGATGGCTGCAGTATTTCTCGACAGTTGGGTAAATCCCGACAGATGAAATGTCGTTCCCGGCAGTTAGCTGCAGGCATTCTCAACAGATGGCACTGTCCTGCCAGACGAGTGCAATCATCTGTTGACACAGGCTTTAGTGACAGTGTCTGACACATAACTGTGGGC